GTATGGCAAACTACATAAAGAGAGTAAAAACAATAAAATAAGTGTGTTGAATAAGACCTAATGTCGAATAAAACCTAACATATCTATATCATAATTATTCAAATAATAAGGGATAGCACAAGTCTTTGATAAAGTGTTACAATCGAGTGGGCTAATCACAAGTTTCGGTATTTTTTCTAATAGCAAAGCATTCCTTTATATATCTAGTACCAATTTTTGCGTTGTGGGGACCATTACATGTAAAGATATATTCAAATCTGTCTCCAACATCGAGACTCTTGAAATCTATGGAACTTGATTCGAGAAATGTAAATAGCTTGTTACGTATAACATCATATTTGGTACATTCCATTACAAAATGAAGTTCATTTTCTATATGCTTTGGACAAAATGGACAGAACCTTTGGTCAGGGGCTGTATTGTAATATCTACCTGTTTCAATCTAACAAAAAACAAGAATCTATGCGCCCGATGACCCTTGGCTAGCCATGTGGAAATAATGGACAGAATCAGCCTGTCCTACAGAATGAAAAACACGTACGAACGGCGAAAATTTTCCTTTAGAGCACTTGAAAAATGTGATGCCTCGACGAACAAAGGTTTTCCCGTTGAGGTAATGGTGTGTAAAAGACTTAGGGCTAGTTCTGTATTAAAGGCTACTATAGCACGTCCACTGGGTACTACATATTACGACGTAATGGATCAGGACGTACCTTAAAAGACCTTTATTTTATCCTGAAAACCCCTTTGTAACTAGCCTGGTATCCAGTCTGATCGTGGTCGGGGCCGAAAGAGCTCTGTCCCGCACGCCTCACATGGGTTTCCCGGTGTGTATTTCACGAGAGATTGATTAGCCCTCCACGAAATCCCCAAGCATACTGTCTCTTAGCGTAACTCTCCTACCGGGACGGCCTGTTGCACTGGGCGGGGGAAGCAATTAGAGCCCCCGAAGGCACAACCTGCCCGAACACCCCAATACCCCAAAATCACGTAAGACTGGATACCAGGCTACTTTGTAACCTTTTCACCTATAGCTGCAAGGAGGTTGCAGCGATTCGAAAGAACGTGTGCCAAGACATGGCGAGATGTTTTCAATAATTGTCTTTGAAAGACCCTGCAGTTTATCAACGAGACGCTGGACAAATTTAGGGAACGGATTTTGCTAGACATCGGGGAAAAGTTCATATTCTTTTAGTGTTTTTTTTTTATGTACACATAACATATGACACTAGAATGGTCAGATCTATAGTATTAGGACATGTACTTCATTGCGTAATGTCTTATATACGAACAGATCAGTTCATGTAGATAATATAACGCTCCCCATGCACTAAAAATGTAGAAGACCACGTAAAACACTGAGCCGAACCCTATATCTGCTTGAAGATTTAGTCTTCCTCAGTGCGAAATCGGCTATTTAAGCAGTCTTAAAGCATGAAAGCATGTTTAAAGATTCCGTTTTGGCACTCTTTAAGCACATTTAAGCAATCTTTACGCGTGCTTACATATTACTTTTAAGCTAGCTTTAAGTTTGTCCGTAATGATGCTTAATGACACTCTTTTCAGCAACAAGCACCGTATAATAAGCTTAAATCTTAATATTCACGCTACATTTAAGGGTCTTAAAGTGTCCTTAAAAGTAGTGGTTTAAGCTATTTAACACTCTCCATACAGCTCTATTGATTTAGATCCGTAAACCAGCCTTCAACTTGAAATTTAAGTTCAAGGGCACTTTCGTAAATTATCTGGACTTTCTATAACCTTGTTAGGCGAAACTGTTGAGTCACTGGGAGATATGAAATCAAATAAACGTTCAAACATTGAAGCAGAAAGCACGGTTGGTCAACACACGTACACTTTTTGATGCAATCTAGCTGTATTGTGAAACGCCATTTTATTCTTGTGTACACAACCAAGAAAAGTTGTTACCGTTGTAGAATTGAATTTACCGTTTTGTTGGACAATAGTGTACACTACATGTACTTCTTGTGTAAATATCTTGATAAGATATACTTACAATGTACTACAATAGGCCGGAATATCTTATTCTTTTTGTGGTTCCTTAGGATATTGGCCGTACAAAGGAAGTATATTTTATTAAATTTAGGCCACACCAATTTAATTTCTTGGTTACCGGATTTTTCTAGAAAAATAATGGAGCGGGCGGGCGAAGAAAATAAAATAAAAACAGACCTAGGCATCCTATTATGGCCCAAAATGGTACGATAGGAGCCATGAAGTCAACACACCAGGCTGGTTCACAATTTGAACAATGAATTTTGAACTTTTGATGATATCACTGCATTAAAAGATGGAATAACTGTGACAACTAGGAAGAAAAGGACTGTTTTCAACTGTTCAAGTATGAGCATTTTGCAGTTGATTCTGAACCAGAATCATTTTTTTTGCAAATCAGAAAAAAAAATGAAGCGTTAACCAAGAAATTCAATTGGTGTGGCATTAGCTTCAGATAATAGAAAAACTAATATTTTGTGCCGCTAGCTAGAGGTACAATGTAGCCTGGGTGCCAGACTGTCTCCAGGGTCTACACATAGCCTCTACCAGGCTTCGGGAGCGGCAAACTGTTCTCTCCAGCATACCAACTCCCTTGGCATGCTATCTCTCTATTTGGCCCATTTCTACTCTTTCCAGCCGCCTCCTGAAGCCTGGTAGAGGCTACCTACACATGCAAGTGCCATAACATGTAGTGACACACCAAAATTCGCTGTAAACATATAAATTCTATCTAAAATTGCACATTTAGTAATCAATTTAGAGAGATTTAGAAAAAACATGATTGGTTTTGGCAAAAGTTTTCGTGAAGAATTTTTGACGACCTTGAATCGTAAGCAGTACTGAGTAGCTGAGAGTCAGGCCACAGCAAGTAATTTTTATGGATGACATCAGCGCGCGCATTAATTTTCGCCTGATTTTGGAAGAAAAAACAAGAAATTTTTTTGCCTTCTGACAGTGGTTAACATGCCGAATTAGGCAAACATGTCTGCTGCCATGCCGGAAGGTGGATGGCAGATAAAAATGAAGAGAGGAGACAAGGAAAGGCTCTGATTTGTTTTGTTACCTTCGCCAAGAAGGTTATGTTTTCAGTAGCGTTTGTCTGTGTGTGTGTGGGTTTGTGTGTGTGTGTGTGGTTTAGCAAGATAACTCGAGAAGCAGTGGATGGATTGGAATGAAACTTGGTAGGTCGGTAGGTCTTCATAAGACCTAGAAATGATTAGATTTTGGGCCCCCTGACGGCTTTCCTAGGTACTGCAGCTGAACTTCCGGTTTTGATATCTCATGTTCTGGACATGCTAGGGTCACGAATTTTGGATGGTAGATAGCTCTTGGGATAGGGAAGAAGTGACATGAGTTTGGGTCCCCTAGCGGCTTGTTCTGGAACTGCAAAAGCATTTGTTGAAAAAAATTTGAAGGACGATAACTCAAGAACCGGTTGACGTATTGTCGTGATTTTTGGTATGTAGGTAGTTGAAGTGATGCTTTACATAATCAGATGGCAATTATGCAAATCAGGAGCTAATTTGCATAATCAATGAGGAAATTCTATAAATCTGCTTTGTTCGATAATAGAACTATGAAACACTTGTGACATCTACTTGAGAACGAGAAAAACATCTGAGGATATAGATTATGTAAATGAGGACCTAATTTGCATAATTAATGTCAAATTATTATAATTCCATAGTTATAACTGCTGCACCCCGAATTTCATACTTGCCCCATTTGGGAGTTAAGTGAAGGTGAACATCAATAAACATAATTTATTCAAATCATGACCTCATTTGCATAATTTATGAGGCAGTGCTATAATATCCTTTTTGTTAAGATAAGGCTGTCATTGGGTGGAGAATATGATCAACTGATATAATCCATGCAAATGAGGCGCTTATTTACAAAATCAATTATTAAAATTGTATAATGAATTCGTCACCCGCAAGGGTTAACATCATTTGGCGAAGGTATGAGATCGTGGAACTCTTGTTTTAAAATGTAGGAACCTTGTTTTTTTTCGGCCCGCTTTTTTTTTCGCCCGCTCGCATTAGATATGGAGTCTGCGGAGGATGTCATCCATAAAATTTACTTGCTGTGGCCTCAAGAGGTAAAACACGGCATATTGTAACATTCAAGCATGATTACATCCCAGCATGTAGCTTCATCTGTAGCCACAGTCAATTTCGAGAAATACAAGAGGTTACAGAGTGACATATTCTGAGGTAAATTGAATAGTAGCGGCAAGGGCAAATGTGTCTTAGGCGACAGTGTAAAGAAAAAACGTTGCACTAAATCTATCAAACACATAATTTAGTTATTAGTAAAGGTTATTTCACAATATTTGGGCACAATATACATGTACGTAGGCATAGGTCTTGTACGGTAGATATATATCTTATAAAAAATTGAAGACTAGAGGTAAGGACAAATCTGTCTATGTCCACGATATAAAGAAGGAACGTTGCAATAAATCTATCAAACACATAATTTAGTCATCACAAATTGTTGATTTGACCATATTTCGGTACAATATACCTACGTACGCATAGGTCCTGTACGGTAGATATAGATCTTAAATTGAAGACTAGAGGCAACAAATTTGTCTGTGGCCACGATATAACTGAGAAGTGATGTTTCGCTAAATCTATCAAACACATAATTTAGTCATCACGAAAATCTGATTTGGCCATATATTTCGGCACAATATACGTGCGCATACATGTAGGTCTAGTACGGTAGATATATATTTTAAATTGAAGACTAGCGGTAAGGACAAATTTGTCTGTGTCCACGATATAACTGAGAAGTGACGTTTCGCTAGATCTAGGTGTTGCACATACCTGAAATTCATATTGACGCACTCAAACACATAATTTAGTCATCAGTAAAGATTATTTCACCATATTTCAGCACAATATACCCAGGGCTTGTACGGTAAATATATATATCTTGAATTAGTCTACAAAGTGATGTTGAGGTGTTTCACATACCTGGAATTCCTATTGACGCAAAAACTGGAGGGTACCAGCGAAGTGCCCACCGAAGCCAGCCGTAGTTGGCATAAGGGTCTTCTTGAGGAGGCAGGGAGGTGACAGAGGAGGGTGTCTCGTCTTGCAAGACGTCTTCGCGTCCATCCATTGTGCTCAGTAAGGAGCCTGATGCGAACATTTGGAACAGGGGTTCGACCGTCGCCACCGCCATTGGCGGGAAATGTTCTGGCTTCCGTTCGCAGCGCCCCGACAGGAATTTTGAAGAAATTAAAATATACGGTCGGCAGTTATCAAGGCAGTGCTGCAAGGGGTGGGGGGGTTCATGACGTTTTTGAAGAAAATCATGAACGGTCGGCAGCTATCAAGGTACTGCAGCGAGGGGTGGGGGTTCATGAAAATCAAGAATGGTCGGCAGCTATCAAGGTACTGCCAGCGATGGGTGGGGGGTTCATGACGTTTTTGAAGAAAATCATGAACGGTCGGCAGCTATCAAGGTAGTGCAGCGAGGGGTGCATGGGGTGTGTGTGTGGGGGGGTATGATCATTACATGGACGGATACTAGGAATCAAAGACGAACTGATAAAAATTCATATTACAATTTTTTTTCTTTCTTTATCAACGTACAGAGCAACAAGAGGAAGAATTGCTTCACACGCACTAAAAACAAAACAAAATTTTCTGTTTTTACTTATACTTTTCATGAAATAGATACTACTTAATTTGCGTCCTTCCTTTTCTCATTATGTATTTCATATACATGTAAATATGTGAAATGCAATTAAGAAATCTAATTTTCATAGCTTCAAACTGTTGACCTTGACAATGACCATAGAACACGTCGGCCCTTAGGTTTATGACCTTAAAGCTCTCTCCTTTTCTCAGTAAGATGCTATTTCCGTATTACATGGTTCTTTGCACGTGAAATGGCGGTTCAACTGGTCGATTCGCCCGGGTGGATATACTATGGGATAAACCACAAGACAGGGCAACAGGGCTCGAAATTCATTTTAGGGAATAGGTGCACAAGTTTGTGCACCCAACCTAAAAAACTGGGTGCACAAAAAATTTGGGTGCACCATATATGTTTCATTTCTAAATAAATGTACTATAACAATGATTTTATTATTATTTTGACCCTTAGATTAAAAAATATGCTGTATACTACTATACATTTAACATCTTTACATATGTAAACCTACGAAAATATTTGGGTGCACTGGTGCTCCCACAGAAAATTGGGTGCACAGCTCCAAATTTGCCAATTGGGTGCACTAAGGTGCACATGCACACTACTCTCCAAGCAAAGGTTTGGGTTTTGGTGTATTTTTAGCATGTTTTAGGTTTTTTATCGGTTTTTTTTTGCACTGGAATTTTTCTTTCACCCAACCCTTGAAGAAAGAAAGAAAAATTCAAGTTCAAAAAAGAAACCCTGATAAAAAAAGCCTTAAAACACGCTAAAAACACACCAAAACCCAAACCTCTGCTTGGAGATAGAGTACACATGCACCCAGTATTTCGAGCCCTGTACAATAAGCGCATAATTCCACATGCGTCATATATGGCTCTTCCAAGAAGCCGTTGACATCAACGTGTTATCATAGGGGATTTACAACCTTTACCAAACTGATGCAGCGTTCAAAGCAAAATGAAAAAAATGCCTAAAGCTCTTATTTTCTTTCTTTGATCGTATCAAACCCAATTTTCTTCCATGCGTCTTTGCCGGAGCCGTTAAAATACCTAATTCAACTTAGGTACATACCAATAATATCGTTGATCCCTTCATTATGTTGAAAATGTCTCTTTTGACGTATATGAAGAAAGACCATTGCACCTTACATCCTATCAGGTGTGTCTATTGGGGCACGTTGGCTAGGCTGACGTATATGACCCTTGCCCTTAGAACACTATAATGTGATTTCTACATGGGCTTTATTACCAGTGCATTTACCGAATAATTCCTCGCCGAGGACTGAATTTTCCTCCTATTTCTTTTCCACACAGAATTACGTGGACTCTTTGTAGTACCTGTATGCTGTATAACGTTAAAAAAACTATTCTTTTAACTTCCCAAAACCCACAAATTTTGGAAAAGGTGGAACATTACGTCCTCCATGGTTTACAGAAGAGAAGTCAAACCCTTTAGACATAGTTTTAGACATAGTTATAGTTCTAGACAGCTAACGTTATCATGTAGACTTTAGTTATTTTATACTCTATGTCATTGTTCTTTTATGTTTTGTAATTTGCAATTAGCCCCCGGGCAAGAATTTGCAATAAACTTTTCATTAAAAACGTGTTTTTGCCTAATGTTCAAGCAGATACCTTTCGGTAGCAAGTATCCATCCAGAGGAGTTTTAGTGGCCGTGCAAACTCCTCTGGCCACTGAAAGGGATCTGCTTGGAGATTACGTTTGCCTACGGTATTACTAAATATATAGACTTGTATCACAAAAGCTTTCGCAAAAACTTTGAAACATTACCATTGGTATGTATGCCACCTGTCGGCTTTATAGAGAAATGCACACAGATTCTACTAGCTCTCCAAGCAGAGGTTTGTGTTTTGGCTTATTTTAAGCGTGTTTTTAGGCCTTTTTATCGGGGTTTCTTTTTTACACTGAATTTTTTTAACGCCAAGAAGTATAGAAAATCTAGTGCAAAAAAGAAACCCCGATAAAAAGGCCTAAAAACGCCTCCCAAAATAAGCCAAAACCCAAACCTCGGCTTTGAGAGTACACAGACTCTAGTGTGGATTCTGAACTTCTTCATCAGTTAGAATTAACATTTAATAGCGGCATATTTGCATCATGCTCAAAAGTTACGCACATAACAAGTTACTGTAACGTTACACAACACAAAACACAGCATAGTAACGCGTATACAACGCAGAAATACATTTGTAGCGTTCCCAATTCTCAATACGTAGAAGATATAACGAGATATAGTGCCAACGGAAATCTGTCTAACACGGTTAGTCCATTAACGGTGTGCATTTCCACATACAATATCAGCTCAAACTTCAAGGGCAAAGTGTACCGATCAAAAGCGACATCTGGCGGCCAAATGTGGCACTGCTTCCCTAGTGATTCCCATTGTAAACTGATTTTGGGAGACTGAGATACAGGCTGAGATACGTCAGGTATCAATTGATATTAAAGTGATATGTTAGGCCATAATCAAACTAGGTTAAGATGACACAACGTTACTTGTGGAATGTCATTTTTCACTTCCTTCAAAACAACAATAACTGTACAAGTCCTATGCCATTTTTGTGGTAAAAAATTATGCTGATCAAGCCATACATATATTTTATACATTGTGGAAAGGGTGACCTTTGTTGTCACATTTTTCCGACAAAAAGGTCGTTTCAACTTGCCTCATGCACCTTGAGGATCCCACCTTGAGCCGTTGCCAAAAAAAAAATGCTAACAAGTCCTCGTCATTTCTCGCGAGACTTGTCACGGAGGCACCGGAAACGAAGGTTCACCTGAAGTGGAACACAAACATCGATCGACGGAGGCACCGCGAGTTTCAGCTCTCTTGTCCGCCCGATTGCGGGCTACTTCAAGTGGTTTGAGAGGAGATTACTGGACAAAAAGGTCGCCCGAAGTCTCGGTGAGTTGCTCTTCCTTCGGTATATCGTTAAATATCGGTGAATTTCGGTAGCGTTGCGGAGAAGTTGCCCCCCTCGGTACCCACCCTCGCCTAGCCCCGGTAGGCAGCCCGTATGACACTACGTTAGCACAATATGGAAACCAGCGCCGTGCCCTTTCGGCTTTAGGTCACTTTTGTACACATAGCAGGGATTAGATACTTCCTAGTGTATTCTTTGTGTACCAAGTAGCAAACAAGTACTTTATTTTCTACGTGTGTGTACTTGTACTAGTAGTAGTAGAGTTCTAAAGTTCTGTAAACGTATGTATCGTTTTGCTTTTGTGTTGTGTAGTCTAAAAATCATTTGTTATACAATGCAAGGTGCAACTTCACAATGTTTTAAATGTCAACTCCTAAACTTTCGCTTCTCTAAAATTCGTAGAATCCTTACGTTTCGTTTTCTGTAGAGTTTGCTAAATGCTTTTTTTCTTGCTTGCTTGCAAAATTTGGCACCACCACATTTGAATAAATTGAATGCACTCAGATTAAGCGGCACTTTTTGAAGACGGGCTCTTAAAATTATCTGGATTAGACTCGATATTCCGGGCACTACCGACCCAAATCTTGGATTATCTGTTCTAGATAATTGCACGCCCTCCGATTCTGCCATAATTAACATCCTAGTTACCCTGTCAGAAGAATAATTACCGTCAAATGAAGGGGTAGAAGAATTGGAACAAAGTCGTGCATTGTTTGGCCCAGTTTGTATTTCCTTTGCAATTGTAGCCCCCCAAAAGTGGCATTCAGTACAAAATGAGTTGAAGAACAAAGCCTTAGACTTAGAAATTGTTGTCTGCCTTATGAAAACAAAAGGATTTAGCATGAAAACAGGTGAAAAAAGGTAGTTTGCTCCATAGAAAGAATCTTAACACTTTTCGTGCATTTTTCTGATACTGAAAATCTGGTCATGCATGCACAAAACATGATGCATAATTGTCACGATTCTGACTAACTCAAGAAAAATCTATCGCATTGAAAAATAGTCCCTCCTTATTTTATTAGCCAATCTCTTTCCACCACCCTTCCTTAGCCCGAAGCATTTCCTACAGTTGCTGCCATTCACAATGGAATCTCCTAAACCAAGGAACTTCCGTTTCCTAATGCCCTATCTTTAGGAATTTGCATATTATTTTCATAGATTCCCCTTGAGGACATGCCCATACGGATAGGATGTCTGTTAAAACTGTGGCAAATAAAAACATTGGCGGTTGATCCGTAAAGTGAATAAACCTGCCTATTAGGAGGGCCTGCAAGGGGGGGTCCCGACAACGCTCTACGCTGAATTCGGAAACCCTCGATTACGCTTTACGATAAATTCCAAGTGGCTACAACGCATTACGTAGAACTAAAACGGCGAATACGCTGTACGGAAAATGCAAAGAGCAGTCCGTCTACGCTTTACGTAGAATTAAAATGGCCGATTACGCTCTACGGAAAAGGGCTTGCGGGCCCCCTCATATGAGTCAGAAGTCTTCAAAAGCTACAGAAACTATATACTGTAAGGTTGGACTCAATACATAACATTCTAGTCACATATAAGGGAAAAGAAGAGTGTTTTCGCATTGTCCGCAGTTCTTTTCAACCTATACAATAGCACAGCATGTTTACATCAGTCAAGAATACTTAAGATTCAGACAAGAAGGGGAAAAGGAAGTGGGGAAGGAAGGGAAACCCTTAAGGAACTTAAATATGGCTTTCTTGGAATGTCAAGATTACATTGCTTATCAGTGGTATCGTATGTCCAAATACCCACTTCTGATGTACATAGCTATACACATTCACTTGGGAAAAGTTGAAGATGATTGAAATGACACAGCAAAAAATTGTAACAACTTTTGCATCGGCAATGCCGGTAGACTATACTGGTAGTAATACTAGTATATTTAATAATTGGTGGTCATAATGTTCAGTGAAACCAGTTTCAAGCTAGAGCAACAAACTAAACTAAACTATCTGTCTACTGTTTTGGCCAATTTTCTACTCTTTCCAGCCACTTCTGAAGTCTGGTACTAGTGGTAGAAGTCAGTTTCAAGCCAGCCAGCCAACAAAAATGCCCTTTCCTTCCCTAAAGTAATCGTAAAAGCAAGGACATCTGGATTTGAGGAGAGGAATTCAGTTTACGACCGTACCCGAGGGAAATTACTGTCTTCTTCTCTGTGTGATTGCAGGCAAGAAGACAATTACAAGATATACCTAGAAGATAAATTCTTTGTAGTCGGGGAAAATTTATAGTCTTACCAGACCTCAGGGTAAAAGTGGGGAAAGTTGTAGAGGCGGGTTAGCCTCTACCAGGCTTCAGAAGCAGCTGGAAAGAGTAGAAAGAGGGCCTGCATGGGGGGGTCTGGACAACTCTGTCCGCTAACTTTTGAGAGCCGGATACATATTACGCTGAATTCAAGAACCCTCCCCCATAACGCTTTACGATAAATTCCAAGTGGCTACACAACGCATTACGTAAAATAAAACGGCAAATTACGCTCTACGAAAAATGCACAAATTACGCTCTACATTGAACTCCGTCTACGCTCTACGTAGAATTAAAACGGCCGATTACGCTCTACGGAAAAGGGCATGCGGGCCCCCTAGAAGTTGGTGAAATGTAGAAAATATGCCAGGGGAACAGCAAACATAATTTTGCGCGAAGAAAATTGTATTTTGCAAACACTGAAATTCTAGTATGATTAATATGAATACGTCATATGTTGCCTGTTGCCGTCATTGCAAAAATGTCAAATGTACATATATACACAATACTTGTGTTTGGCGGGGAAGTCACACAGACATGACAAAGTGAAATGTTCGACAGGTGTTGATGTTTCTCTTCTCTACTGAGTGCAAAGTTTGTAGACTGATGTTTGCCAACACCCACTTTGTCATAGTCGGGGATTACAGTGCTACTGTTCAGAGTATTCAGCTGGGGAAAACAGTTAGGCCACAGCAAGTCATTTTTATGGATGACATCAGCGTGTGCATTAATTTTCGCCTGATTTTGGAAAAAAAAGAAACAAGAAATTTTGCTGCCTTCTGACAGTGGTCAACATGCCGCAAATGGGCAAAGATGTCTGTTGCCATGCCGGAAGGTGAATGGCAGATAACTATGAAGAGAGGAGACAAGAAAACACTCTGATTTCTTACTTTGATGCAGTGATATGTGATGTTGGCTGTGTATATGCGATGTTCCCACTGAATCAAAACCATTTGTACTATAATTGAGTCAATATTTTAAAATGTAGGAACCTTGTTTTTTCGGCCCACCTTGTTTTTTTTTTTTCCCGCTCACATTAGATTTGGAGTCTGCGGAGGATGTCATCCATAAAATTGACTTGCTGTGGCCTTATGCAAAAATTGGGCAAATAAACATGGGACTTGGAGTTCTGCACAGACTGGCTTTTGGCCAAGGGGTCTTTTATAACGAAAATCTGCTAAGTTGTAAAGTTGCAGAAGTTTAGATGTAAATTGCAATATTTTATGGTTATCTTTCAGGTTGATTCTTGTCATTTTTAACACCTGGTGACTATTAAGCTTTAAGTTTAACCAATAGAGAATCGGTAGTCAGGTGGCTACTTCAGTATACAAAAGGTTAGTGTTTGAGGATTTCGTTTTAGGAGAGTACTTTTTGAACCAGCCCTCCCCCCTTCCTTTAAGAATTTATTACCAGAACACCTGTATTTTCACATCCGGTGAGGTCTAGTCCTAACAACAGGACTATATTGGTACATTTGCATTCCTTGCTGTACAGGCTACTTTTTGTGTTAGTGTTTGAGGATTTCGTTTTAGGAGAGTACTTTTTGAACCAGCCCTCCCCCTTTCCTTTGTTGAAAATTTATTACCAGAACACCTGTATTTTCACATCCGGTGAGGTCTAGTCCTAACAACAGGACTATATTGGTACATTTGCATTCCTCCCTGTACAGGCTACATTGGCCTTTTTGTGTATATTATCCTCACCAAAGAGCCTTTCAATGCAGCGTGGTAAACCCCACCTACACAAATGTTTAGGTTGTTAGTTGCTTTTCAAGGGCTGGTCACTCGATAGGCCTAAATGGAGTTAGGATTATCGATAAAATACCAGATGTGTATGGCTGGTGCCTTTGTGTATGGCGACCGACGGAGGTATTCCAAACTGAATGCTTGAACATAAGTAGTCTACTTGGAGATGATATTTGCATGCCAAGATTGTTGTCTTTTTGCATTTCCGTTTACAGTCCTTTGTTGAAATAGGAGAAGCCCGCAACACATGCATGCATGCGTCCGTTTACTCTACACGAGTGCACAACAAAGTTATGCCGGGTTTTTAAAGGCGTTCGCTCGAGCTAGGGTCGCGCGGTGAAAACGTATACTTGACCGTGCCTTTTTTACGCTGGAGAGGGGGATTGTTTTCCGCGCGCGGCCGGTCGGAAGCGGTATTATGCGCCAGTCTGAAGTGGCTGATAGAATTTCATCAGTTTTTCTTGTTTTTGGTTCCGCTGTGTACGTTTATGTAAGGTCTGTTGGTCAGATCGGATTTTATGTTATGAATGCGCCGAACAAAAAAACTGTTTGGTTTGCGTCCGCCGGACGTAATAGTCCGGCCAGACACAAAGAGTTGGAAGAAAGGGAGGAAAGAAAAAAAGGTGTGTCGGTATGATTTGGTCAACCTAAACCGCAGCTGTGTCTCGTGTCTTTTGACAGTGTGGTTGCAAGCCCAGCTCATTAGGGTAGTGCTGGAGGGGCCCTCATTAAACAAACCTTTTCTTCAGTTCATACGAGAAATTGGCAGAAGCAGAAAAACGTAAACCCACACTTTAGTGACAGACAAGTCTCAACCAGGTCTCAAAATTAAAGGTGCTCCAATGGCCACTGACGACTAAAATTTAGGCTAGGACAACTAAAAAGACACTTAGCGACATTTTTGGGACAATAGAAAAATGGAAAACGTTAGAATGTCAGCCCTTCTTTTGTTTATCAGGCACACGTCCCAG